CTTTCTTTTGCAATGATATAGTTCCCAATATAAATATTTTTTTTTCGAAAATTTGAAGAAAAGAATAGGCTCCCACAGAAATATTTGGGGGCAAGAAGTTGTTAACATATACACTGTATTTCCATCATCCCAAAGCTGGAATGCCTCGTAGGGGCTCCTGCTTTAAAAAGGCAGTTTAGCTTGATTTCTCCCTCTAATAAGAAGTTGACCCCAAACCTCCTTATGACGCATAGTTCCAAATATAACTAATTTTCTCGAAAATTTAAAGAAAAAAATAGGCCCCCCACAGTAATTTTGTTTTACCTACGCTCATTCATGCCCTAACTCTTTAAGTACAACTCAAATAAAATTTTTCAATATAAGCTCAGATTCTTTTTATTTTTGCCCCCTTTCTTAAAAAATGCCCCCAAATTTGATTTTTAAAATTATGCTCACACATTCTTTTTCAAATAATCCCACCAGACTTAAATTTGCCCCGTTTTTCAGAATGCCACCAAATATTTATAATTTTATAAGTTTTACGCCCAACTAAAAAATTATCCATTGATTAAAAAAACCTTCATATACTTCGCAAATGCCTTTAAATAAAATAAAAAATTTTGCCCTCAAAATATTTAAAAATTTGCCCCTAAAACAAAGATTTAAGATAATCCTAACTGAAAATTGCCATCCCAAAAAATAGAATAATTGCCCATGAAATATAGATTTAAAAGATTTGTCCCACACAAATTGTCCCCAAACTGAGAAGAATGTTCCCAAATATAAAAATTTCCCCCCAAAATATCCTGAATTTTTTAGGTAGTTTTTTCATGTTGAGTATAATACACTTTTTTCTCCCCCCCCCCCCCTAGAAATGTTTAGGGAGGGGGGCAAAAAAATTTGTGCTACGCGCGAATTATTTGCCCTTTGCCTCCCCCCCCCCCTTGCTAAATGTCTAGTTGCGCACCTGTTTATTACCGGTTTAATGATTGGCAAAGAACTAAAAAATGTACAGTGGCAGAAAACCCTAAATATAAAATAACAGACAGTGTTAATTACGTACAGTCGCCCTTGAAATTTCATCCTTTGAGAGTAACCCTGTATGCAAAAGTTTCAAGTTCCAGTAAAACTAATTTTTTTTCTTTAAAATATTTATTTTAGATTTTAACGAGGTGAAGGTTCCAATTTGCGAGGCAGAGACATCTAAACATGCTTCATCAGTTATAGAAAAACTGGCACCCAGGCAGAGTCTTGGAAGTGCACCACAGGCCTGGCCTAAAATGGAGGAACAACCATTTATCAAGGGATCAGTCGGATTGTTCGACCTGCCACCTAGCAAGAGAAAATCGAACTTTCATGCTCCCACTGGTGGCCTGAGGTTTAAACAGGTTTCTACCATTCAGACGAATAATAAGATAATCCAGAGGTGAGTCATTCATTTATCCATTTTGTAGATTTCGTGAATTTATTATTATTATTATTATTATTATTATTATTGTTATTGTTATTGTTATTTCGATAAATATTTATAATTATAATTATTGTTATAAATCAATATAACATTTAATAAACAGGGAGGAGTTATATAATTCTGCTGAATTACAACTCAAGAAGGATCTTATAAGATACAAGAAGTAAGTGTTCTTAAAAATAGTCCAGTTCAAGTTCTACAATCTACATGTATCCCTGTATCCCCGTATCCCTTTATCCCTGTATGCATGTATCCCTGTATCCCTGTATCCCTGTATCCTTATATACCAGTGTCTTTTAATCCGTGTATCACTGTATCTTAGTAAATCCAGATGTATTAATTTATCAATGTATCTGAATATCCCTGTATCCCTGTATCCTTGTATCCCTGTATCCCTGTATCCTTATATACCAGTGTCTTTAATCCGTGCATCACTGTATCTTAGTAAATCCAGATGTATTAATTTATCAATGTATCTGAATATCCCTGTATCCTTGTATTCATGTATCCCTGTATCCCTGTATCCCTGTATCCTTATATACCAGTGTCCTTTAATCCGTGTATCACTGTATATTAGTAAATCCAGATGTATTAATTTATCAATGTATCTGAATATCCCTGTATCCTTGTATGCATGTATCCCTGTATCTTAGTAGTAAGTAAGTAAGTAAGTCAGTATTTACCTATTTATGAACTTTAACAAAAACATACAAAATTAAAAGGAATATTTCCCCCCTTCTAAAAGATATAGAAATAGAAATAAAAGGATAAGGATAGGATAGGAAAGGAAAAGGAAAGTTACATGTTTATTGTTTACGTTTATTATAAACTAGTAGTGCATGGATTGTTAGTATTTTTGACGATGAACTAAAATTATTTTTAGAAATAAAAAAGATAGATTTATTTTTATCAAAATAGGCAAAAACGGGCATTTTTAAGCCTTTTTTTAATTAATGTCTATTTTTGACATTCTTCATGTTTGATTATATCTTTACTCTTTTTAGTTTTTTTCTTTTCTTTGTAAAATCGTCTTTGCTTTCTTCGGGCTTTTCCAAACTTAGCATGTATTAGAATTAATACATTTAAATGTTCTGCTGATAAAAATCTTCAATTAAATTCTGTTTAAAATTCAAAATAAGATTGACATTTGAAAGCAAAGAATAGTGTCGTTTATTTTCATACCATATTTTAGGGAAATTGTGAGGAGGAAGCAGTCCAATTTTAATTTAATTTAAAAATCATTTCTGTTTCTAAGATTTGCGTTTTTGATTTTTTTTTGATGATGTGAAATCTTTTTTAAATGTTGGGGGTAATTGGTCTCCTTTAAATTAAAATAAAAAATTTAATGTTAAAAATTGCTAATTTTCTTAATGGGAGTATGTTCAAAGCCTAAAAAGCTTCCGCTGTGTGACTTATTCTGGGTAACCCAATCAATAGACGAATAGCTTTCTTTTGCAATGATTCTATCTTATCAATATTTTTGTTTAAAGTTAGCTCTAGAAATGTTGAACCAAATTCTAAATAAGAGTGAAAAAAGGAGTATTAAAGCAATTTCATGGTGGCAAAGCTTAAGAAGTTTTTAATTTTTTTCACAGCATAATGTCAAAAATTTAATCGCCTGTATATCTTTTCAAAGAAAAATTGCATTAGTTTTCTAAATATTAATAGTAAGTTTATTAGACATGTACCAGCAACAAGTTATTTTTTCTAATTCTTTATTTATTGTGTCTGTTTATTGTTTTTACATTTTGATGCCACATTTGTGTCGTCGGCAAAGGCTACACTGAAAAGTTTTTAGATTGGAAGAAGTCATTTACATCTATATATAAATTTGGCTTGTCTGTCTTGGTGTCTGTTTGTCTGTATGTTTGTTTGTTTGTATCCAATAAACGTCAAAACGGCTGAACCGATCGGGCCCAAATTTTTTGTGGGACATCTAGGGACCCCAGGGAAGGTTTATGAAAAATCAAAATTTCAAATATTTGTCTCCATCGAAATTCGATCGTCATTAAATTTTTAAAAATTTTGAAAATCCGCGAATTATTTTTGTTTTGTTTTACGATGTACACAAAGAGAACATGTTCACAACTAATTTAGAAGATGGGCGCGAAGCGCCCTCTAAGGCTAGAAAGAAGGGCGCGAAGCGCCATGAATTTCTAGTAGATAATAAACAATAAACAGCAATTAGACTTGATCCTTGAACAATAATATTTCTAATATTTCGAATAAGTCTGAGAAGGTACCATTTATACCGACTTTTTGCATCTGACGAATTTCTCCCTGTATCCCTGTATCCCTGTATCCATGTATCCCTGTATCCCTGTTTCCCTGTATCCCTGTATCCCTGTATCCCTGTATCCCTTTATCCCTGTATCCCTGTATCCATGTATCCCTGTTTCCCCTGGTAATGTATATTGAACATATCTGTGCATTAAGGGAGAAACTAGAGGAAGAAGAAAGAGCCCTGTGGGCCGAGCAAAAGTCTACAAATAGGGACAGAAGTGGATTTTTCAGTCCCGTAGGAATCGAACAATTTGGAGGGGGTATTGGAGGCGATATCGGAGATAATATTGGAGGCAGTATCGGATGTGGTATTGGAGTTGATTGGTCTGGGAAAGGAGGAGTAATGTACCCCGGAGAAGGCGGAGGGATAGGATATGATGCAGGTTTTGGAGGGTACGGAGATAGAGGAAGGTTCGGAGGAGATGGAGGTATGCTCGGAGGAGATGGAAGGAGTTTCGGTGGATATGGAGGGAGGTTTGGACCCAATAAAGATGAAATGTATAACAGAGGCAAAGAATACGGAATATTTAATCCACAAATGGTTGAATATGAAAAAAGAAAGTACATGAATGAGACGAATATTTATCGTCCGATCCACACTGTGTATACTCTCAAGGAAAGCAAAAAAAATACAAAATATCAATATTATTATTTTAAGTATTTTCATTCATTTTTGTAAACATTTTTGATTCAGATGTCTGAAGTTTAAAGAAGACAGGATTATTTTTATAGATTCTTTTTATTCAATTCTTTCTACACACTGCACAGTACATTTGTACACTTACACAGTAATCAAATGAATAATGACAGAACAATAGAAACATTTCTTTAACAGAAATACAAGGTGAAAGAAATTGTTTGCAACAGTTAACCACTTTCAAACTTTTATTTTGAATTGTATTCAATAAAACCAAACAAAAACTGTTTTTTTTTGCCTAAAGGATATAAACGAAGAAGAAATGATGGTTGACGAAGGTTATTATATTTATATTATTTAAAAAGAGGGAATTTACAAAGAAAATTGAAGCCACCTTTTCTATATTTTCATCCCTTCTGTTTCTATTTTTTTATTTTAAAATTCAAATGAATTTTGTTTTCTATAACTAAATTCTTCTACAGAGCAAAGCGGATATACAACAACATGCATAGACATGTATTTCCTCTTTTATATGAAAATCCGGAAACCCATAGATTGTTTGACTTAAATTCACAGAGCTGAAAACTTTAGAGTGGTGGATATTGAGATTAATGCTTGATCCTCTCTTTTTCTTAATATCGAGACTAATCTAATCTTGTCCTTGTATCCTGAAAAGTGTATAAAATTCAACTAATCAGAGTCGCGTATATGAAGCCGATAAATTTGAAATTTTGCGCGCTATTTAAGATTATATACAGAAACGGGAGAGACGGTTTTTGATTTTTAACCCGGTTTAAGAAGAAAATCAAAAGTGTGTCTCATTCTAAAGTTTTCAGCTCTGGACAGGCAGTATGAACCATCACTGACGCGTAACTGCCCAAATTTATACTTATACACCTATCTGCAGCTGTATGATTATTAATCCCTTTGGAGCCACTATGGCAGGGTGGTCCGCGTCAATGCTGGTTCTATATTACCCATTCTGTGCCTAAACCAGATTTATCCCTGAACAGTCTTGGTGGTATTAACCCCCCTTGACCTTTTTGGGTTCTATCACTCTCATGTGAAAACTACTTCAAGGGATTTGTTTGTGAATGATAAGTTGATATTTGCCAAAAACTTATAATTTGTTAACTAACATTATTATAACCAAAAATTTGGTAACTAAAAATTAGAAAGCTAACATTATGGGAACCTTACAATTTGGTAACCTGACAATTTGGTAACCTGAAAATTTGTAACTGACTATTTGATAATTTATGGTAACCAACAATTTGGTAACTAACAACTTGGTAACCCAGCAGTTTTGAAATCTGACAATCAGGTATTTAATTGTTTTAAACCCAGAAATATAAAACCTAGCAATCTGGCAACTAAACAGATTTGCAATCTATAAACCACTAATGTTGTAACCGAATTTCTCTACCAAGATAATAAACCGTATTTTTTAGGCAACAGTGAGGTTCATACTTACAGAAATTATCAAATTACTCTTAATTAAAAAAAAATGCACTTGAGGAAGGTCTAAATCCTGTATTTCTAAGTTCTAGGTTATGAAAGTTGTGGAAACATATAATTGTCTCTTTCATGTATATCTGAGATTATTTCGACTTTTCTAAAAATGGTATGTTAACAAATTGTAAAGTTTCCAAATTGTAAAGTTTTTAAATTAGCAGATTACCAAATTTTAAGGTTAAGAAATTTTTAGTTACCAAAGTTTTGGTTACCAAATTGTCAAGTTATCTAAATGTTATGTTACAAATTGTCGAGCTATCTTAAGTGTTAGTTTAAACATTGGCATATTACTAATAGTTATCAACTTATTAGTTACAACATTGTTAGCTACTAAATTATTAGTTACGTAAATCCTCACAATACATAAAAGAAAAGGGGTAAGAATCAGCTGCAACGGGAACACAATGTGTAGGTGGGGGCAGTTGGTGTGACACACACTTTTAGTGTTAAAACTAAATTAATTTACATTATTAACCCTAGAAGACTGTAAGACTGGGTTGTGCGAGATATTTGATGGAGTGTCCACCCTGTCCCCAGCATATCAACCAATATCTAAAAATATCTTCAATGTTTCATCAATCATAGAGACTCAGAACCAGAGGATTTCCGTTATACAGGTCAGATTTCAGATTTAAGGTTAGTTTCCATTACCCAGGTCGGATTTCCGTTATTTAGGTAAGATTTCCATTACATAGGTCAGACTTCCGTTATTTAGGTAAGATTTCCATTACCCAGGTCAGACTTCCGTTATGTAGGTAAGATTTCCATAACCCAGGTCAGACTTCCGTTATTTTAAGTAAGCCATTACCCAGGTCATACTTCCGTTAGTTAGGTAAGATTTCCATTACCCAGGTCAGACTTCCGTTATTTAGGTAAGATTTCCATTACCCAGGTCAGACTTCCGTTATTTAGGTAAGCTTTCCATTACCCAAATCGGATTTCAGTCGTTTTGTTCGTTACTTTTGGGGAAGGAAATGATCTAATATTATATTATTTAATACTTTAGGGACCCCGTAAGCCTACTGCTGAAGATTTAAAGAAACCCCTGAAGAAAAGAACTTGCACCAAGATGTGTAAAAGTTTCTACAGGTCTAGCTTTTAACTAAAAAAATAAATAAAATATTTTTGTAAATATCAATAACATGTTTTATCTCATGTGTTGCTTTTATCAAAATAAGCTATAAAGACCAAAAACAAAGTTACGCAATGAAATCAGCAACTTTTGATAAGAAATCTTATCATATTTGTTTTCGTAAAAAGTACAACTTTAACTAAAAATAGAAAATATTTGTTTACAGGAAGTTTCTCTACTGTGAACCAATCATCAAACTGACATGGGAGGAGAAAAACTTCATCGACAAGCGCGTCGTTGGTACTTTGTTTAATATCTAATGCAAGGTGCAGAGGGGGGGGGGGAGGTAACCGAACCCCCTATCTATCCGTCGGATCTCATGGTTTAAACTTGTTTTGAAACTCTAAATGGGAGCAAATGATGAAAAAATTCAAACAGATCACATTTTTTTTTAAGAGTTGATCTGCATATATGTATGTATTGTAGCATTTACAACTATTTTAGAAATTTGATTTTACAAACATGGTATTTTTTAATATAAAGGTCAAAATCTACTATTTAATGTTTGCTGACGATTTTTTGCTCGTCAAGTATTTTCCTAATTCTTTAGCTTGGAACTTTTGTCTATTATACTAATTTAACCCCGTTCGCTAGATCTCAATATCCACAGAGGACACTCTCAATTTAAAGATAAATGCTTAATCTTTTTATTTCAGTCCTTCCTTCAAGGTACAAATACTGCGGGGGTTGAAGGGAGGTTTAGTCAGGGGAATAAGAACTAGAATTACGGTCATGGGAAGGTGAAGTTTTTCTTTTATAGAAATTCAGGGGATATCGAGATCATGTGATCGGGGTTATGAGTATCCATTTCTAAATCTGTTCCAGCACAGAATTCTATTGAAAATTACAAAAGAAAAAATTAAAATTAAATTTTTTTTATTTTAGAAACCAGGCGGTTGGTCGCTATGGTCCAAGGAAATCCAACTATGCAGGTGTCACCATTTTATTTCTTCTTTTTGAATCAGGGGCGTTAACAGGGGCTGCCCAAGGGCAAATTTGCCAAGCTGCCCCTCCACTGAAGATCAAACCATGTTTACGCCCCACTGCCTGAATACAGTGAAAAGTTGATATGGTTAACTAGTTGTTGCCGTCGTTTATAGTTATTAAGTATTTATCAAGCTTTCAAGCCAAAAATGAATACCAAAATGTTTAGAATGTTTTCTAATATTCGTATTTTTTTCTCAGAAAGTATTTTTAAGATAGACTTTAGCTATGAAAATTTTTAAGTGAATTTGTTAAGATTTAAGTTGATAAAATTTAAAATACTTTTCAACAACTTTTCTGTAAGTTTTATCTTTCCACTTACCTTAACTTTTCTTTTATACAATACTTTTTGCTGACGAGCAAAGTCTATCTTTAGAGTATAAGGATCTATTGAAGCTGTCAAATCTTTTGAGTAATTTTTTGGGAAAGAACTGACTAAGCTTTTCTGCTTTCATCGAAAATATACCAAGCATTCTTTTTACAATGGAGTTGGAAGGTTTTTTTATTTTATTTTTTTCAGGAGGGCTACGGGTTGGATGAGTTCAAGGAAGAGAGAAAATCTGCGGTCAAAAGTTTCTCGTCAAATTTTGAACCAATTTTTGGAAAACTCCGAAGCAAAAATATGAGGAAATTAAATAAAATCTCCTAAAATCTTTTTTTTTGGAAGAAAATTTTGAATTTTCTTAAGGGTCTGTAGATTTTTTTATCTGACCCTCTATTTAATTATTTTTTTAAACCTTTATTTGAAGAAAAAAAAACGAAAACACTGTTTTTCTCTATAAAAAATATTTTTTTTTCAAACCTCTATTTGGTTTTATTTATGCTAAAGAGACAATGAAGAAAACTAAAAGAATTAAACACGTGTTTAAAGAAAACAACCGATATCTTTTTCATTTTTCCTCAGCTAAAGATGTAAAGTTGGAGATTATCAGACAAGCAAATGTTTAACTGGGGGTCACATTTAAATTACGTTAACAGTCCCTTTAACGAAGATTATATTTGATTGATTGATTGATTAGTGAGATCAAGAGCATGGGTTTGATGGAGAGCAGGTTTCTTTGTTGTGCACTTACCTCGATTGCAGTTCGTCTCTTCGGAGGTTAGTTTGGTTGGAGGCTTGTTTGAAGACCATCTTTCATTAATAATATTTAAACAGTTATTTTTCTGATGCAAACTAATCCTATTTTAGTTGTTAAACATGTGTTCAGCTTTAATACAAAGTTATTGAACACTTGCAACAAACTCTAATTGTCGAATTCGCATTTCTTTCATGCTTGCCCTTAAATTTTTAAAACTGTAAAATATTTTAGATTTTAAAATTGGTATTTAAACATTTGAAATGTTAAAAATGTCAAGATCATTGTGGTGGGATATTTTCTTATTTGAAACTTGAATTCTTTTGTATTTAAGTATGCTAAAACTTGATTGTTAAATCAGGCAGATTTGATTTATGTCAATTTCTTTTTGAGAACAAATTCTTTTGGTCGTTAAGGCGAATTCATATCATACTATTATCATATCATACTTATAGTATTAAAGGTATTATTAGACGTAATTTGAAGTAATCCTCCTTATGACGAGTCAAAATGGTACCCCTCTACCTTTTCTATGGGAAAACTGACTATTTTCATTTGTATAAAAGTGACAAAGATTTTCAATTGGTATCATTGTGAATCAGACTTTCCACTTTGCGAAAGTAATTTTAGATTACGCATACGTCCCTTTAAGCATTGATTTGGTAGGTTCCCGAGATGGTGCGATGATAACACCTGAATATACTTCAAAGTACGCCGGTATGCTTAGAACACCCTGGGCCTGCAGTTATGAGGTATAAAGGGACTATAAAGGAATAAATGAGCCTTCATTTATAAAGTTAAATGCATGATTAACAATGGTATTTGTATCTTAGGAAATTTATGTATAAACATTGATAATTTTTAAATTTCAGGATTTCCTATAAATGCGAGAAGGAAATAGAGAGAATGTTTAATTAAAAAAAACGATAACTCAATTTAAAGGGAGTGTTCGCGAAGAAAGAAAGGGGGTATAGGCTTACGGCAAAAAATAAGCGCTTTTGATCGCTACTAATCTTGCTTCAATCTGTTGCGTCTATAAGAAGAAAATGGTTTAAAATGAGTCATACCGTGCAAATTCAGAAAGTTGCAACATTCCACTCGGATCGTAAACAAATCAATTTAATTCCAAGCAAATCATTCAGATACTAGCCTTAGAGGGCGCTTCGCGCCCATCTTCTAAATTAGTTGTGAACATGTTCTCTTTGTGTACATCATAAAATTCGCGGATTTTCACAAAAAAATTCGCGGATTTTCAAAATTCTTAAAAATTTAATGACGATCGAATTTTTGATGGAGACAAATATTTGAAATTTTGATCATTCATAAACCTTCCTTGTGGTCACGTGATGTCCCACAAAAAATTTGGGCCCGATCGGTTCAGCCGTTTTGACGTTTATTGGATACAAACAGACAACAGACAGACAAACAGACAGACAAGCCAAATTTATATATAGATTGCAAACAAAATTCATCGACAATTTTTCGACACATTTGTGTATACTTTATATTTCATAATATTTTATTTTTATTTTTCATGATCTGAGAGTTGCTTTTGAAAACATTTATTCCTGTTTCGAGGATTTTCGATAATGAAGACACCATTTTCATATTTTCCAGGAATGTTCGAAAATCCAGTGCCAGCGAAATATTATTTGAAAAAAAATCAAAAATATTATGAAATATTAATTCTATACACGAATGCGTCGAAAAATAATCGATGACTATTGTTGTAATATCTGAATGATTTGTTTGGAATTAAATTAATTTGTTTACGATCCGAGTTGAATGTTGCAACTTTCCGAATTTGTATGGACGCTGCGTTCTTCGGTATGAATCGTTATTAACAATTATATCCTTATAGACGCAACAGATAGAAGTAAGGTTAGTAGCGATCAAAAGCGCTTTTTCGCCAATAGCCCATACCCCCTTTCAATTTTCACAAACACTCCCTTTAATAAAGCTGTTCAACAGCTAATTTTTGTTTTAACAATACAGAAACAATAATTTTCAGACAATCATTGTTTTTATTTTATTTTCATTAATATCATTACTTTAATCCTTGTTATTTAAATTAAAATGTAAAGATATTCTTGTTTATTCAGATTCATGAAGTGGTGAAGCAAAGAAGTATATTTTCAAAATCAATCAAGTTTTCAATATAAAAACGACGACATAAATACCATGTTTGCTTATTGAGTACCTTTTTTCAAGCAATACGCTGAATTTTCCTTAAAGCGCAAAGTTAATTTACTCTCGCCATTTTTAAAATGGCGTCGAAAAATCTTCCAAAGCTGTCTAAATTACAGTACTATAGTGTACATATCTGATTAAGGAAGAGGAGAAGGTTGTTGGTACACTTCGAAAGCTTGGAGAACTTATTGGAAGTGACGAGAAGTTAGAAGTACTCTTCACAACTTGTATAATGCGAGGTAAATCCAGATTAGAAGAATGCACAGAAAAGGGGGGAATAATGGTGAGTAAAGGAAAGTAAAGGGAAGTAAAGGGAAGTAAAGGGAAGTAAAGGGAAGTAAAGGGAGGTAAAGGGAAGTATAGGGAAGTAAAGGGAAGTAAAGGGAGGTAAAGGGAAGTAAAGGGATGTAAAGGGAAGTAAAGGGAAGTAAAGGGAAGTAAAGGGAAGTAAAGGGAAGTAAAGGGAAAAAAAGAAGTAGAGGAAATTAAAATGGCCGGTGTCACGTTAAATAAGGCCCGGGCGTTATTTGGTCCGGGTTGGTGTTACATGTGAAATCCATCGTATATTAGGAAATTACCGCTGGTTTGTACAAAATTGATAGAACGGGGGGGGAAACAAAAAAATGTAACAATTTCAATAACAATGATAATGTGCATGCTTTGGGTCCNTTTTTTTTACAAAATTAAAAACCTTTAAAACACATTTTTTAAAATTTTTATCATTCATAAACCTTCCCTGTGGTCACGTGATGTCCTACAAAAAATGTGGGCCCGACCGGTTCAGCCGTTTTGACGTTTATTGGATACAAACAAACAGACACCCAGACAGACAAGCAGACAAGCCAAATTTTTATATAGATGTAATATAGAGAAGTACCAATCTAAGATATATTCCAGGATTCCAGGATCCAAGATCTGCATTTATGCAGCTGGAAAGAGGAAATACACACACAGATGATTCAGGAAAAGATAAAGCTCCTGAAGAAAGTCTAGAGGTAATAAAATTAAATAGTACAGCCATAGTCAAGAAGGATTTAAATCATGGTGATTCAAATTTGAATCGGCAGTAGGAAGTTCAGCAACCTAGCTCAAATTAATTAAGTTCGGTCCCTGGGACCAAAATTAGCGTTTACCAAGTTAAACTATGTTTTTACTATCGTTTGACCCGGCGTACACAAGATTCAACTATTTCTCGAATCTCGGTTTTCATTTAATATAATCGTTAATTGATGTCATAGATTTAAATGTGAATATTGGAAAGATATTTAGAATAGAATTAGATAAAGTTTTAAGTGATTTATAAAAAAAAAAAATTTTTATAAAAATTTTAAATGTTTATTAATTTTGTTTTTCTACAGGATGAGCCAGGACATCCAGCTAAACACAAACCAGCACCAGAGGAAGCAAGGTGAGATATCGTCCAGTGAGAACAAGAAAACTCTGGAATAAGAAGACGATATTTTTGCAAAACTTATTTGCTGTTGTTACCTAGCAAAACGTGTTACAAGTAACTTCTTAAATCACTGCTTAAGTTAGATGGGTCTGTTAACACTGTACAATTGCTGCTTCTCCTCATCATTGGACTACTAAAAGCCATAACTTGAGTCTATAACTCTTTCTAATCTATATTTTTCTGCGTCTTATTGTAGTATGTTAAATTTAGATCTTGGTTGTTAAAGTCAAAAATAGGCTTTTAGGTTGCATTCATGAAGACTGAGACAGTTGGTGTGAGAGCCAAATAAAATGAGTCTTTGCCACAAACTCTGATTTTCTACCCACCATATCTTTGCAGCCCAATGTTGAAGTGCCTAGATATTTCAAACTATGAATTCCGGGAGATCAAATAATCTAAGTTCGAGATATAAAAGGTTTACACCATCAGGTTGCAGAGATAAAGGAATTAGAAAATTTGAGTTTGTGGTAGGGTTTCCATTCGCAAAACTTTTGCGCAATTTTTGCGGAACGTAACGCAATATTTTTCTTTCTTTGCGCATCAATTTTGCGCGAAAAAACAACAATTTGCGCAATCATTCGCAAAAGTCATTTCGCGCAAAATTGCCCTATTCCACTTTTGCGAAACTCAAGTTTTGCGCAATTCCGCAACAAGAGTTTTGCGCAAATCCGCAATTCCGCAATTTCGTAAAAATCAAACGGTTGGTGACGGTGTGTGTTTCTTAGAATTCAATTCTGGAAAAATCTTGTTTTGGAATGTCTTCCTATTGGTCACTTTTACATAATTGACCAATGACAATTAAGAAGAGTTCAAATCTCACAATTTTCTCGACAATTTTAGTTTTGGACATGCATATTTCCTAATA